CGCACGCACGCACGCACGCACGCACACGGAGTTGCACATATTGCTCGTACACACGATTTTATGCTCACAAACGTTACAGATGCACACGCACGCGCGCATCCGTCCGTGCGTTCGTCCGTCTGTCCGTCCGTCCGTTCGCCCGTCCGTCCGTCAATCCTTCAATCATCTTTTTATGGGACAATTCATGTCTTAATTTCGCTTTTGGCAGACATCTTATACTTCCTCTAATTAGGTGAACTCCAACATGTGTAATAATGGTGTCAATCAATTCCTTGGTGTCAAAAACTCATAAACTCAAAAAATCAACTTCCTAGGTCACTTACTTATAGAGTTATCATCATTTGACATAATTCGCAAAAGGCTGCTATTTGGGGGTAGGGTTGACCTTGAGTTACAACAGCCCCCTATGCATCATATAGAGCCCGGGGGCCTCATTATGAAGCTTGGGTCACTTAGAGCACTTAATAAGGAAACTTTTGGCCAATTCTGGCACCTTTAGCTACAATATTGGGCGAGTGAGAAGCAATCATGCCTAGAGCTAATTTCAGTGACCGCGATTTTTGGCTATTTTTTGGCTAAAATTGAGAAAAATGTAGCCATTTCGTACCATGAAACAATGTTTATGGCAACAAATCACGCTGGAAAGTTGTTAGTAATAATTATTCAATGTAATTCAGTGCAATTTGAAAGTTTATGGTTGCTTAATAAAGAATTATGCTCTGAAACTTCAATATTGTCATTTTTTCACTTTGACGCCTAACCGAAAATCACATAATGGGTTTCAGTTGTACAGAGAATGTAATAGTTGTACAGAAAAAACGTACTTGACCCGGAGGTGTTACCCAAACTTTTTTTGTGAGCTTGCCATAAGGAATGAGTAAATATAAGGTTTTGCTCTAAAAGAGTCGTGTACATGAACACCCCCTCCCCAGAGCCTAGACTATGATGCTGGGGTGCGCGATGTAAGCATGCGCGCATGCGTGCATGTGTCAGTGCGTGTACGCCTGGCGGTGCGCGCATGCGTGCATGTGTCAGTGCGTGTACGCGTGGCAGTGCGTGCATGCGTGCATGTGTGCATGTATCAGTGCGTGTACGCGTGGCAGTATGTGCATGCGTGCATGTGTCAGTGTGTGTACGCGTGGCAGTGCGTGCATGTGTGTCAGTGCGTCTACGCGTGGTAGTGCGTGCATACGTGCATGCGTGTCAGTGCGTGTACGCGTGGCAATGCGTGCATGCGTGCATGCGTATCAGTGTGTGTACGCGTGGCAGTGCGTGCATGCGTGAACTCTCCTATCTTGCGAACAAATTGAGCTACATTTCTAACACATGTCTTAGCTATAATCCCCGTGAATTTTGAGTTTATTGAAGCACGAATAGTTTAATTAATTACCAAAAATATACGCACGGTATCGTCATAGGATAATATATACGCGCGGCTATGGCCCGTAGGATAGTGTACTAACTCTAATATCTCGCGAACGATTTGAGTTACATTTTCTAAAATTCTAGATACATATAAACACATGTCTTAGCTACGGTCTCTGTGAATTTTGAGTTTATTAAAGCACGAATAGTTTAACTAATTACCAAAAATTTACGAACGGTATCGCTCATAGGCTAATATATACGCGCGGCTATGGCCCGTAGGATAGTGTACTAACTCTAATATCTCGCAAAGGATTTGAGTTACATTTCTAAAATTCTAGATACCTATAGACACATGTCTTAGCTATACTCTCTGTGAATATACACGATTAGTCAATATATTAGCAAATATATGCACGCGGAAGTGAATTACAGATGATTAAAATAATGTTCGAACCACCCGACTCCGAACCCCCCTATTGCACCCGCCTGTACTGTGTGTACTGGCGCATTGTACAGCTGGTACATGTATTGGGATTGTATACAGGCGGGCGCGGTAGGGGGGTTCGGAGTCGGGTGGTTCGAACATTTAATCATCTGTAATTCACTTCTAAGGAATATCTGCATTGGGCACCCCCTCTAATAATTATAGTACTGCCATAAGCTACCACTGTGCCAAGTTTGTGACTTTTGTCACTCCTGTAACGATTCGGCCCATATTTTGCACTAAGGGACCTGACTAAAAAGACAAGTGGTAGAGAGATACAAAAACATGGTCCGAATCTTACAGTTGAGCTTACAGTCTAACGACTCGCTCCCATTGTCGAGGTGCTTTCGGAAATTCTCATTCAGTATCTTGCTGACCCCAACGTCTTGGAACATTTTCTGTAACTTGGATGTGTACTCAAAACCACAGGCTTGCTGCAAACGCACATGCAGAAAAAGAGCGAATTAAACACGAACGGTAATATCAGTGTGTGTACGCGTGGCAGTGCGTGCATGCGTGCATGCGTGTACGCGTGGCAGTGCGTGCATGCGTATCAGTGCGTGTACGCGTGGCAGTGCGTGCATGCGTGCATGTGTGTCAGTGCGTGTACGCGTGGCAGTGCGTGCATGCGTATCAGTGCGTGTACGCGTGGCAGTGCGTGCATGCGTATTAGTGCGTGTACGCGTGGCAGTGCGTGCATGCGTGCATGCGTGCATGTGTATCAGTGCGTGTACGCGTGTATGTGCGAATTCGCACGCGTGTGCGGAGCAAATAGAAGGGGATGGAGGTCTGTACGTACCTGAGCATATGCGTATGCAGGTGGGGTTGTGTGTGTGTGTGGGGGGGGGGCGTAGTTTATAGGCGCGTCTGTGTATGCCATGGTACTTTTATTTATAAGTAATCTATCTTAGTATGTAATATAGACACGCGATAGAGCAATCGCCTCTTCACATAGTTCACAGGCAACCGCTGTGTGTGTGCTTTGCAAATGCCAAAAGTTATTGCATTCACGGTTCATATCGCGTGGGAGTGTGTAATCCAACTTTAATGAAAAGTGGAGAACAGCGGCGCGACCAGACTTCACATAGATGGATGTTGACAGGAGCGCAAACACACTAACGGCTGGCACTAATGCTGGCTGGTGTGATGCTGCTACTCCCATATTATACACTGCCTGATAACGCTACAGTCAGTCACATATGCGTATAACTATACACATGCAGATATACATAACTATATACATGCAACCATGTGCCTTCTACATAATGACGCTATACCACGACCCGACACGACACGACACGACACGACACGGCACGGTCCGACACGACACGGTCCGACACGACACGACACGACACGGCACGGCACGGTCCAACACGACACGACACGACACGACACGGCACGGGACGGCACAACATCATTACAATCATAGTACCGACTGTATTATACTACAGCTAAATTGCACTCAATCAATAAAAATATAAAAATAAAATCAATCTTGCTCTCAAATCAACTAATCATAATTAAATACACACTATAAATTTACAATCGCACTGCATGCTATACTACACTTTACCTACGCTGCTGTGCACATTATGCTACCCTGCGTTCATAGATCCTCATGTACTACACTGTTACAGTGTAATTGTTACGTTGTTAATCATGATGCATACTATGGCTATCTCCTGGTTGTTAATTTCTGCTGCTAGAGACGTTATAGGACACTAATTTCCCCGGTGGCTGTGCAAATTAGGAAAACGATTAAGTTACCCGTGTGTTCATGGCATACTAAAGATGCCCCTCACACGACGTAGTCGAAACTAAAGCCTATAACCCGATATAAAATCATAACGAAATAATATCATTACGAAAAATGTCCAAGTGTTAAGCCATTAAAATCGGTCTATTTCAAAGGGCTCTCGTTACTACGCCTCACCATGAAATTCGACGTTCTTCTCGTCACTTTCAACCGTCGTTCGTCGTTAAGAAACCTACATCGTTGTTGTAGAACACTTGCAGTGTGTAAGCGGGAAAATTGCGAATCGACGATATATTGTTTCATCTATTTTTTACGGCTAAACTGACCTGTCATTGTCGTTACTTAGCAACGCTTCATTGGCGGCAACTTGCAGCAGATGTTCTTAAGCGTCACTGGCAGATTCTGACGAGAAATTCTTATGCTGGGTAATTCCCACGATTTGATGCTCGGTTCGAATGCCGGTAAAATGGCTTAAGCATTCGTATATTAAACCGTCCGAAATTTACTGAAACCGTTAGGGCGTTGTAACGACGACGAGCGTACGTTGTTAAGCTATACGACTAAAGTTGAAATAGACAGACAGCAAGAACAAGGATTTCGCAGTCGAGTATTGGTAGGTAGGAACTTTTGAAAAAGAGAAATTTCCACGAGTTGGAAGCCGTGCGCGTTTGTAGTAGTTACCTCCGCCAAGGAGGTTATGTTTTCGCCCCTGTTCGTTTGTTGGTTTGTTTGTCTGTCAACAGGATATCTCAAAAAGTTACCGACGGATTTTGATGAAATTTTTTTAGACGGGTTGGTCTTGGGCCAACAACCAATCTATTAGATTTTGGTGGTGATCCGGATCCAGATCTGGATCCAGGATTATTTTTGTTGTGGTGAAGAGTTAGGACGCATTCAAAATTCATTAAAAAAATGCTGGATTTTTTTCTCTCAAAGTTTCTGAAAATTTCATCAAACTATATTGAGTGTACCAGCAAGACTGTTACGCTGTGGCGGAGGTCTGCTATCTCCTATTGCTCTTGTTATGAGATGTTTTCGTGAACGATGAAGCACTAGGTTGGAGCAGCTGTCACCGACCAACACCTTCATCCAACAAAAGATTCGCTCGGATCGTGACCGTACCCCGATGCTCTCATGTTTTTAACGCCACCTAGCGGCAACCAGCTTGGAAAAACCCACACTTCTCGTTGCTACGCCTCATCATGAAAATCTACGTTATTGACGTCAGTTTCAACCGTCGTCTGTCATTAAAAAACGTACATCGTTGTTGTAGAACACTTGCAGTGTATAAGCGGGAAAATTGCGAATCAGAGACATATTGTTTCATGGCGTGACGATGAGCTAGTTAGTTTACCGGTGACAATGCTTTTTTAGCAGAGGTTTTTTAGCAGCCAGGAAAAAACGCACGAGTTTGTTCACGTGTGGGATCATAACCGATGTCCTCTTGTTTGTTAGCAGCAGCGCGATCTTGCGGAAACTTATCGAATGACTGATGAAATGACGAGGGAGTGTGCAGTACGGTTATGTCTGTATGGGCACGGTCATCTACCACTGCACTGCGGATGGCGCGCCATCCCTCATTGAACCACGCCCATGTAACATGGTATACCCCCCCCCGCGTTAAACTCCCCCCATCTCATTGCGCAGGGGCAATGAAGGTTATAAATAAAATAAAAGGTCATATCCGCGTTACAGCTGCGACGCACCCTGCTATGCATTGCGCATGCGCAATGGAGGAGGCAGACGCTTGCCATGCGGGGCTGTATACCACGGGTCCCCGGCCTAGTAATGAACGAGCTATACGCTTCATTATCCGTACTAATGACGAGCGATCGTTTCCGACGTGTTGATATTCGCAGCCGATTAGCTCCCGGCCTCCTGTCCTGTGCCTCGCATCGTCTGTGCCTCGCATCGTCTGTCACCGTTACCGTGTGGACGTGTGTGCAGCGTGACAGCGTGGCAGGCAGCCTCCCACGTGTACACACACACACACACACACACACACACACACACGCGCGGCAGGCTGCGGAAAGCTTACGTTCAGCGCCGCTTCGCCGCACTTCTCGATGGCGGTCAGGCCCTGTGAGAAGATGTGTGACTCGAGCAGGTTGCGCAGCTCGCCGAGGCCGTCCTGAATCCTCGACACAAGGCTGTACATCCGGCCCAGATCTGCAAAAACGCTCCGTACATTCACTAACACGCACAGACGCAGGTGCGTCAGACAGACGGTCAGACAGTCAGACAGAGAGATAGACAGACAGACAGACACGCAGTCAAACAAACGCGGTAAATGCACTCCACACTGGTTTGAACTCCAGTCGTTGCCTTCCCTACATGCCACGGTGACTCAACATTTGGACGAAGTCCTTGCCAATACAACACTGTGGCTGTCCTGCCTGGTTTGCCTCTGTTCCTTCACATGTATTCCACATCATGTACGCCTCCATCTCAAGTCGGAAAAATAGGTTTCGTTGGTGTCTTTTCAACTATCTCTGGTTCCCTAATATTTCTGATTAAACCTAAATCAACAATTGCCTTGGGTCTAAAAAACGTGAAATTCTATCCTTGTAGGTGCTGACACAACCATCAACGCATCATTCAATAATTGGCAAGAGTAAAGACAGGTGGTTGTGCAAGCTCCGTTACACATTACCCACACAAGCTAGCCTCCTTCTTTATGAAACATCTAACCCTATGCAACTAAAGCTACGGAATGAAAGTCCTCTATTAAAGTGATTACGTCACCCTAAATAGTAAAAGTAAAAAAAAATGATGGCCACTTTCTCACAAAATGTAAGTGATTCTGTTAACTTTTTGTTGTTAAATTGCTGCATTATACTTCCTATTTTGCTATTCCGTTCGAAGTGAACAAACACTCGTGACTCGTACATAGACCATAGCAAGCATTTAATGTCGTGATAAATATATGAAATTTCCCAGGTTTTTTTTTGGATTTTTAATTAGTTCAGAAACGATCTTATCAGGTAAGAATTTGAGGATACATTTAGTCGCATTAGTACTTACTTTTCATGTAAAATAATTTCAACAATTTTTTTTTTACAAATATACATCATAGAAAATTCGTGACGTAGTCAATTTAAGTCCAGCACTTCAATTCACATTACGTTTTTTTATTCTCAGAAACGCAGCAAAGTGACAACAGCTCACTGCACAAATGTGCATAAATCTGGTGATAACTCGAAAGGGGTAAGACACTCTCACCTAACCGAACATCCATAAAATAACCAACGGGACTAATTTGCCTTCTCATCTACTG